GGGGAGATTTTCAATCTGTAGCTCTCCTACTTGAATACCATACTTTAATAGGGATCCATTAAAGAAAAATTAGAATTCTTTTCTCTTTTGTTTGGACTGGTATTGAACAGCATATTTTCTGACATGTTTCTTTTTCATGTCTGAACAGTTCGGTTCAGATTGTTTTTGTTTGCCAGTACTGATTCCTAAATGCATGAAGCATTTATTAAGCACTTACTACATGCAAAACACTGCGCTAGGTTCTGGGGATACAGATAGAAAAATAAGACAGTTTCTTATCTGAAGGAACTAACATTTTAATGGGGCAGATAACACAAGGAAGGTTTCATCTATGAGTTGTATTCTTCCATCCATTACAAGTATGTTGGCTGATATTTACAATATGCATGCTGTATACTTAAAGTATTAATGCCTATTAATGCACCTAGAGCCAGATGACTACCAGTTGAAGCAGTACCACAGAGATGAGGATACTGATAGCATCTGGTGATATGCTACCAATAGTTTGAGAGAGATGTGAAGTACTAAAGAACCTGTAAATCACCAGGAAATGGAGAGTGTCCTCATATTCTTGATAAATCTCTGTGATCATTAACAGAGTCATGGGGACCTTGGGAAATTGATGATGTATAGACTCAGAATTTTAGAGATATACAATAGGGAGAGATCCAGAGAAATTTAATTTTGGTGGCTCTCTGTTGCATGAAAAATGGCAAAACCAGTTGAGCAATCATCTTAGTAGAATGAAGAAGGTGTTTTTGCTGCAAAAGTGGAATGTGGGATGTATCCAATGAGCAACTCATAGGATGCTCATCAGGGACGCCAGGCCTTTTCAAGATGAGTCATAGAAGATTCTTCTTTCTGTGATATACTGTTTAGCTGGCCATGCTTCTTACAGGGCCTGGATGGATCAAACAATTGGACTCCCTGAGCTTGTTCCTTGATGGCAGCTGAAGTCTACATCTACATCTTCAAACCAGCTACAATGTAACATTTTCAGAAACTGCAGAGAAAGACTTTCAACTAGCCCAGCAAAGTGATTGAGAGCAGAATAGCAGCAAGGATGAAAACAAGAATACTAGACTGAGTAAAATCCACAGAGAGAAACTGCATTAAGTTGAGAGAGAGAGAGAGAGAGAGAGAGAGAGAGAACTAGAAATTTTAAAATAGTAGCGAAAGGCTTCAGTCAGAAAAGCCCAGCCTAGGAACAATGAGCACAGAAGCCTTCCAGCACATAGAGCATGGATCTTAAAGTTGTGTATCTAGTAGCATTGTGATTAGAGTTTGGATCAGGGATACCTGGAGCCTTCAACTGTCTTACTCTGATCCCTGACTGGCACAGCTCATACCAGGAGGCCAGCAATCAAAACATGCCCTAGATAAGATCAATTAAGGAACTGAACGTTTTCATTTTGCTGGCTTGCACTAACTGAGGTCCCTGAAGAATTGCACTCTACACCCAGAGGAAGCAATTGCAAGGCCACAAATAACGTAGATTGGGACCAAATAAAGCTCCACTATTCCTTCCAGAAGAATTCAGAGTCACCCTGATACAAAATCCTCATTAAGGAAGTAAGGTTAGAAAAATTAGTAAACAGAAGAAGGCACTGACCATAAAGAGGTCATTCAGGGATGTATGAGATAAAAATTTAGGAAAAAATTCACAATTTCTATAAGCAAATTCTCAAACAAAAAAATTGTTTTGCTACAAGTTTTAGTGAAATCCCTGGAAGAAATGATGCAAGAGTTTAAAAATAATATTACAAATGAAATGAAAGCTTCTGAGAAAAGAATTTAAAATGAAATGAAAACTTTCCAGGAAAGAATAAGAAAGATAATAAATAGCTTAGTATAGGAGGTGCAAAACCTTGCCAAAGTCACAGCTTCCTTAAAAGTTAGAATGGGTGACTATTCAGTGACTCCATGAACAAGAAATACTAAAACAAAACCAGAAAGAACAGAGATACTTACTTAGGATTGGTAAGAGTCTTTCCCATTCTACTCTTTCTGAACCAAAAAAATTTGTAATCTAATTTTGATAGATATGTGGTAGATTATCTGTATTTTACCAAAATATTTGACAAAGCCTCTTGTATTGTTCTTGTGGCTTTAGGCTAGAAATTAATTTATTTGCTGGATTTGGAATTATTTGAATGACTATAATCAAAGATTAATTGTTAAAAGTTAATGTCAAATTGGGGGCAATGTCAAGATGGTAGAATGAATGGTCACAACTGCCACACTTCCCCTAGAAACTTTCCTATGAGGTGAACACAGAAAATGTCAAATCAAATTCTGAGCAGAAAAGCCAACAAAAAGTTAAAATAAATCATTGTTCTGGCTCAGGGAAGCTTAGATAGACAGACAGAGAGGTCTGTAGACACTGGGGTGGGCATAGAAGTGGCACTAACTGGGGGCCTTGTAGGTGGAAGCTGCATCATCATCAGCAGGAATACTGGGCATGTTCAATGCACAGGGATGGTAAGGTGACTGAGTGGCTGATCAGAAAGAGATTCCAGGATACTATTGTGTTAGCCCTGGGCATAGGACCTGGCACCATTTGGCAGCTATGTAGCCTATTACCCAGTTATGGGTAGCAATTTTGGGGCAGAGAGGAGTGGTCACAGTCACAAGGGAGCAGGATTCCTCCCTGGGTAAGGACCAAAGTGCGGATTGGACACAAGCCCAGCAAAAATCCCTAGAAAAGCTAAAGGAAGAGATTTTTAAAAAGAGCAAGAAATGATTTTAAAGATCAAATAAGAATGATAGAGGGGAAACTGGGAAAAGAAATGAGAACAATAAAGAAAATTATGAAAAGAGAATTAATAGTTTGGTAAAAGAGGTACAAAATCTAACTGAAGAGAATAACTATTTAAAAATTAGAATTGGTCAAATGGAGCTAATGACTCCATGAGACATCAAGAAACAATAAAGCAAAAGTTAATTCAAGTTGGATGAATGTCTATATTACAACATTCTAAAGATCTGCCCTTGTCCTTGTTATTTATTAAGCACTTACTTTGTGCCAAGTACTGTGCTAAGCCCTAGGGATATGAAGAAATGCAGAAGACTGTCCTCACTCTGAAGGCACTCACAGTCTAATGAGGGAGACAGTATGCAAACAACTATGTCCAAAGAAGATAATGCTGAATAAATTGGAGATAATCAGTTGAGGGATGCTGCTAAAATTAAGGATGATCAGGAAAGGCTTCCTATAAAACATGAAATTTTAGTTGGGATTTCAAGGAAACCAGGGAACAGAATTTGTTTAACATTTTTATCAATGTCTTAAATAGAGAAATAAATAGCATCATTGTTAAATTTTGAGGTACCACAAAGCTAGGAGGAAAAGTTAACCAATTAATGCAGAAAAATCTAAGATGAACTTGAAAGGCTAGAATGTTGGACCCAATTTAAAAAAATGGAACCTATGTTAAAGACCTATAATTTCTTTAGTGTAGAATTTTCTCTACTGGTGTAGACTACAAGTTATCTATAACTGATCATTTTTTTTTAATTTTCTGAGGCTGAGAGGTTAAGAAAGTTTTCCATTTTCATCCAGCTAGTAAATATGTCAGAATTTGTCTTCCACACACAAGGACTAGGATGTTATCCATTACAATGCTATTTCTCATAAGAGGAGTTGAATATAACATCTTACACTTGGTTTAAAAAAAAAAAAAACTTTACCAGTACAAGATGAGGGAAACATGACTAGATAACAATCCATCTGCAAAACATCTGACAGTTTTAGTGGACTACAAGCTCAGTAAGGGTTTTACTAAGTTTTTAAGTATCAATCAAAGGAGAAGGCCATCAGGCAATTCATAGTTTCTCTTGGATTTAAAGCTAGAATAGACATTAGATAGTATTAAGTGTAACAAACAATCTAATTCAATATGAGACTGTTTTAAGAGAGGCATAGTGTCTAGCTAACACTAAGTGATAGTCTTATTATATTCTTCCCTGGTCAGACTGCATTTGAATTATAGCATTAATTATGGGTTCCCACATTTTAGGAAGGACATCAATAAACTGGAGAGATGACCAATGCAGTGTGGCCAGGAGTGCATTGAGATCATGCTCTGTGAGAAGCATTGAAAGAAATGGGGGATATTTATTCTGCAGAGTATAAGACTCTGAACTGAAAGTAATTGTCTTCAAGTATTTGTCAAGTATTTGCAAGAGAGATTAGGCTTGTCCTCTTGGTCCTGGAAGGCACAACTCTGAATAGCAAGTGGATATTTCAAAGGCAGATCCAAATCTTGACACTAGGAAAGGCTTCCTAATAATTAAAGCTGTCCAAAGGGAACCAGGACACTTTGGGGTATAGTGGATATTTTGTAGAAGATACTCTTGTCCAACTCTTGGTTGGTTTAGATGGCATCTTAGAGTCCTTTCCAACTCTGAGATTCGAGGACATTTCTAAACCTCCAACAAAAAGATATCAGCTATTTCATAGTTTTATTTTTATTTAGAGTTAGAAAAGACTTTAGACATTACCTGGTTCAATGGTATAGACCTCAAATACAAATAGATCCCTGCAAGTACCATATTGACTGTGAAAACAACCAATCTACATTATGTTGAATCAGATTCCTACCCCACATTGGAGTTCTTCTGGTCATATGTGGCCAGAGTTTGACACCTTTGATCCAGTCCACCTCACTTATTGTGTAGATTAAAAAATGAGGCCCACAGCCTATTGCTCATACATACCACAAATGCCAAGTGAAGAGGTTGGACCAGGTGATCAACAAGGTCCCTATGAGCTTTAAATCTACGGTGATTTGCCCAAAGTCGCACAGTATATAATAGTAGAGCCAGGAAATTACCCCAAATCATTTGACTCCTAATCCCTTGCTCTTTTGCTCTACACCTTGGAACTTGACTTTATGTTGGCTTTTTTTTTAACCTCCAAACTTTATTTCCCAATCAGTTTAAAAAAATTCTTTAAATTTTAACCTATACAAAATTAAAACCTTTTTGATCTTAAACAGGCAGGGGCAAGGCACATATGTCTATGCTGAGACTGGCTCTCAGTATGTTGGTACTTGGTTAAATGGACAACAGGAGGGATCAGGAGAATTCATTCACCTCAACCACAGATACCAGGGCAAGTTCGTAAATAAAAATGTAAGTAATTTTAAAAGTGCAGCTTTCTAATAAGTGCATTAAAATAATTTCATTAAGTATCCTTCAACATATAAAAATTACAAAATAAAAATAACTGAAAATTGAAAATATTTTTTAAAATATGGAGGCACCCTGTGAAATGACAGAATGGTATGATGCATGAAAACATTAAGACTTTCTACCTCACTTTGTGAATCATTATCTTGCCACTTCTACTTTTACTATCAACCGAGGAGCAAGATGTAGATGAAGTGAGACTTTTTCTATGAGTATCTGAATAACAGTTTTTCTCACATCCCATTTCTTGTTACTTTATTGCATCTCTCTAAAAATATTAGTCAAACTTTTTAATTCTTTTTTTTATAAATTCTATTTCTCAAAAATTGGGAAGTCAAATGTTTATTCTTCATAAAAGACTATTACACATATATGATTATAAGTAAACTTTTTGACCTCCCTAACATTCTGTGAAAGTCAGCATTTATCAGGGATATTCCCAATTGCGTGATGGACTGAGTGACTACACCAAAATGAAATCTCCCACCACTTCCACCTCAGAACAATAAGAAATTCATCAAATAAAATAATCACAATAAAAAGAAATTATGGGAAACACTTCCATATAAAGTCTTCTGAAATAGCAGCAGAGGACTTGATGATGATCTCACTGCCCTTATTGCACCCAGTGCATCTGACTCTTCCTTTTAGTTTTGGCTGAGGGCATCTTCAATCTCATTCCCTCTTGACAGTGACCCAGCCTGATCCTTCCATGCCCACTCCTTAATGGAGGAAGTACGGTGAACTTGCCCAGCTTTGAGATAGAGAAAGAAGCAAATTAGGGTTGGAGAAGAGACTGAGCAGGAGAAGGGAAGGTATACATAGAGATGTGATCAACTCTCCCCATTTGAAGTTTCCCTGTAGCATGGATCCATTTAGAACCTGTATCTGCTTCATAATGAAGTCATTGAAGATGTCTACCCTCTATAGTATGGACAGGAGAAAATAAATGGGAGTGGATCTGGAAGGCACCAAAGAGCAAAGGGGCAAGATTCCCTGGTTCATAAAATGGAAAAGACACAAATAAAGAAGAGGAAGGGCAGATAATAAACCCAGCTGCATGCAGCTAAACCACTAATAAAATTTTTAAAGAGGGAAAAATAAGCAATCTGGAAGAATTGATGATACAATCAATACACAATGCAAGATGAAAACCCTCAATAGAGAATGCTGTGAAATAATGGAACAATAACAAGAAACCCCATATTGTTTTGGGATAAAAAAAAATTTCAAAGAAGAAATAAGGATGAAATTAATGCAGAAAGCAAAGTTGTCAAAAAAAAGAAATCAGTTAGTCAATAAGAAAGTAGAACATTTGGAACACGGCAAGGAGAATCTCTTCAAAAGTATATAGGCTTTGAAAAAGAGAATGGCAGAGTTGAAATTCAAAAATCCAGAAATGGAAGAAAATTTGAACAGAATCAAAAGATATTAGGGAAAAATGTGATCTCCTTAACTAGCCAGAAAAACTGACTTTGAGGGTAGAATGTATAGAGATAACTTAAGGATTGTAGATCACTTGGAAAAATACAGTGGCTATCCTGAATATCGCACTGCAGGAAATAATACAAGAAAATTACTCAAAAGTATTAGAAACAGATGAGAAGTACAGATTAATAGAATCTGTAGCTCACCAAAAGATGGACACTCAAATTTGCATCTATAAGGATTGTATTAGTAAAATGTAATTTCAACGTTATTCAATAAAGATTTCAGGAAGACAAGAGATAGGCCTTCAGCTGTCATAGAAATCAATCAGAAGAGTCCAGGATTTCTCTTTGTTTATGAAATTAAAGAAAATATTATGATATGATTCTGAAATACAAAGGGAAAATAGATACATCAATTTTGGTAGGATCATTTTTATTATATTAGCCCAGTTCAACCACAAGTAATTAAAATATCTTTCCATTGTATTTTGGGCATTATAATTTTGATTAGTCAGACTGTATTATTCCATGAAATGGCATCTAGAATATTGGAGTCAAAAAAGATTGGAATTTTGTTTATAGAGAAGTTTGGAGTCATTGAAATTGAGATTGCTCTTTTCCTTCTATTAAGTTTTGGTCCTAGCTATATTCTGACTAAGATATACATGATGTACAAATAGATTAACTTAATGGATAGATACATCCACCTGTGTAGTATAATCTGGACATTTGGAATCTAGTACATTTCTTCTGTATAGATTATGTAGTTGTGAATTTCCAGTTAAAAAGCTTTGTAATTTTCTGGGTCTCAATTTAATCAAGTCAAAGTTATCCATAAACAGATCATCTATGGTGCCTCACTATTTAAAGGTAACCCCTCTTCCATTTGGATCTCATGTAAGCTCTCTTCCATCACAAGGATCTTCTCCCTGTTTTATGTTCCATGTGATATTAATTGAAATGTCATTAAACAAAGTTACTTTTGTCATTGAACCTATAATCCTGACATTTACTTGGGAAGCACCCCATTGGAGAATCTTAAGTGAGCATTTTGTTCCAATCAAATGCTGAATCAAACACTTAGATACAACTTGATCTTGTGTTCTATGTACCGTTCAGTGATTTGGGTGACTCTAAAAATATAATCAGCTATAGAATTTCATTGTGAAAGCCTGCCTGTTTTCTTCTTATATTGTTATCTATAATGATATATATATATGTATGTCTGTTTCTCTGTGTGTATAATATAAACACATATGCACATACACACCTGTACAAGTAGATCATTCTCATCAAGATTTATTAGAAGTGAGAAAGCAGGTATGAATCAATAATTGATTCCTTTTTGATCACCTTTTAATAAATTTCAAAATCATCTGTGATACCCTTCATCCCCATTTGCTATTTTCCTCTCTTTTCTTCCTCAACTTTCTTAGCATTTAGTCACTTCAAGCATAGACCTCTCCTGCGTACTTGGTCTGGTTCAGCTACTAGTTTTATTTTTGTTTTCCTTAGTGCCATTGATGCTATTTCATGTAATATTAGTAACAGCAAATATTTATCTGGTGCTTAAAGGTGTTCAAAGTACTTTATACATATTGTCTCATTTGATTGTATTGAGCTCTGATATTAGAGTTTGAAGGTCGTATATGTCTCCATTGTTATTGATAAAGAAAATGTTGAAGGACATATTGACAGATCTTTTATACCTTTTTGTCTATTTTTTTCCATCTAGTTCTGTGTTTAGGTGCTTTTGGGTGATGTGTCCTATTTGGATCTCATGAAGATTCAGATAAAATTCTTTACAGATAATTTGTGTCAAATTCCTTTCCTGTCTTACAAAATAAGTATAGAAAGATTAAGTCTATTGAGCAGTTATAATATAATAATGATGATGATGAAAGCTAGCATTTACATAACACTATAAAGATTGCAAAGCACTTAGTAAATGTTTCATTATATTCTCACAAAGACCTCGGAAGACAGGTACTATTATCTGCATAACGTTTAATAAAGGATACTTATACTGTATCATTTATTTAGTACTGTTCTTCAAGTGTCTTAAAATACACTTGGCATTTGACATTTTGTACAATTTTTTTCCTTTTTGTGTAGATTTTGAATTTTAGTATAAAATTCAGAAAACCTTATTAATTCTGAACCTTTTAGTTTGGAAATCATAGTCATTTGATCAGGGGATAAAGCTGAACTTTACAGCCAGTTAGTTACAGAAAGAATTTGCTAAGATAATCAATGGTACTTACTCGATAAAACTGTTTTGAAATCCTCTTTAAATGAATGTAAATTAGTCTTATCTATTCACTTAATAAGGAGCTCTGCTTTGAAACAATCATTAATTCATAAAAGTAACAAATAATTAAAATTGTCCTGCTCCTAATTGTTCCAAATTGTTGAAGTTGTGTTATGGTATGATCTAGGAGAGACAGTGTGTGATATTATAATGGATAGAGAGGGTCAGCCTTGTGATTAGAATGTCCAGGGCTCAAGTTCTGCCTTTTATGCAAACTGACTGTATGAACATGGGTAAGTCATTTAATCTGTTGGTACCCCTGGCAATTCTTCAAGACAAGTTACAGACAAAATATTGATCCATATTGATAGAAGGAGTTTCTACACTGAAGAAATCACAGGTCTGGAAAAAATATGTCATAAAACATGCTCTATTTTTATTGTAAATTGAACCATCATAATTGGAAGTAACATTTTATTTCTTTTTTTTTTTTGCATAGCCAATGGGCCCTGGAAAGTATATTTTTGATATTGGATGTGAACAGCATGGTGAATATAAACTTTCAGATATGGTAAGTTGTATAGTAGGATGTAATAAATTAGTACATTTGTAGGTAACATGGAATGTCTAGTTATATTGCTGCTTTGAAGTCAGAAGTAGTATGATTTAAAAAACTTAAGACAGCTTTGGGAAATAGTCTACTTTTTAGTTTTATTTGTGTTCAAAAATAGAAAATTAAAATATTGATGATGTTAGCAAATTAAAATGTCATGCTTATTGCTTATTGTTAAAGTCTAGTCTGTCTTACATGTGAAAATTAAACAGTATTTATGAGGAAAAATTTAGGTGTTAAGTCTTTGAAGATGCAAATGAAATTTGTAGTTACCTATTACAACATTATTGCTCTGTAAATTGGTACTAGTCATTTCAAGAGTTTGAGTTATGACACAACAAAACATTATTTTATTTTTCATCCTGGTAAGCATTAGACAGACTGATGCAGCCAATAATTAAAATTAAGCAGCTAATATATTTTTTCAGAGTTAAATTTGCTTGGTGTATGTGTTGTATGCATATTATATTTAATATAGTTCATATCTATGTAATTCATATCTACCATATCTTGGGACCATAGTGATAATTTTTGCAACCTTTTAATTTTTTTCATTGAACTGACACCACTAAATTGATTATTCAATCAACAATTCCTTGTATAACAAGGAATTCCCTTGTATAACAAGGGAAAGTGGTATTTACAGTGGAGATAAACTAGAAGTCCTTTCAGTAAGATGAGGGGGTAAACAAAGATGTCTACTATTGACACATTTTTAGAAGCAGATCTAATGTCAGTAATTTCTCATAGTTCTGGTTAGATTTTTTGACAAAATGAGCCACTTATAGATCATTGAACAGTAATTGAAAAGGAGATTTACTTTGTCATAACACAATGAGACTATGAAACAAAAATACAGGAGCAATTTGGTATACTTGGCCTCTCTCACCTCCTTATGGAAATGCGTCTGGGAGAGTAAGACATAGTGACTTCCATGATCTTGGGCACCCACCAAGTCTAAGATGGCTAAGGTCTGATTAGTCTTTTTATGTTCTTAGGTGACTAGGAAACTTTATCAGGGAAGCCTGGCCAATCAGTTCCCTGTGGCAACTTTGTCATCTTTTAGGGAAAGTGAATACCTGTCAAAACAGCAAAGGAAGGAGAGCCTGGGCCAACCTCATATTGTGGGGAAAGGCTGGTACATGTTAATTCTATCACACCACTACTGCTGATATGCTGGATATAGCAATAAGATATAAGAGAAATTGAAGGAATAAATATAGGCAGAGAGGAAACAGGCAGCTAGATGGCTCAGTATATAGAGTGCCAGTCCTAGAGTTAGGAGAATGTGAGTTCAAATCAGGCCTCAGACCCTTACTAGCTGTGTGACTCTGGGCAAGTCACTTAACTCTCTTTGCCTCAGTTTCCTCATCTGTAAAATGAGCCAGGGAAGGAAATGGCAAACCACTGCAGTATCTTTGCCAAGAAAACCCCAAATGGGGTCATGAAGAGTCAGGCATGACTAATTGATTAAACAACGAAAGAGAAAACTGTTATTGCTTTTTTCAGATGATAGTTTACTTAGAGAACCCTAGAGAATCAACTAAAAGTGATTGAAACAATTTCAGCATACAAAACAAATTCTTTGAATCATTAACATTTCTGTATATTGTCCACAAAACCCAGCAGGAAGAAATACAAAGAGCAATTTCATTTAAAATAATTACAGAATGAATAAAATACTTACCAACCAACACACAGGAACTACAACTACAGAATGCTCTTTACACAAATAAAGATAGACCTAAATAATTGAAGAATTATTAATTGCTTATGGGTAGAACAAGTGAATATAATAATAATGACAAAATTACCCAAATTAATTTGCTTATCAATGACATATCAATCAAACTACTCAAGGATTACTTTGAAATTATGAAAAATAATAACAAAAGTCATTTGTAGAAACAAAAGATAAAGTATCTCAAGGAAAATAATGAAAAAAAGTTTGTAGGAAGGGAACCCACTAGCACCAGGTCTCAAACAAAACTACAAAGTGATAATCATCAAAATGATGTGATCCCTGTTTAAAAAATAATGAGGTTGATATGTAGAACAGATAAGGTATAAAACATACAGAAGCAAACTAACATAGTAGCATAGTGTTTGATAATACCAAATACCTCAGCTACTAAAATAAGTATTCATTTGACAAAAAACACTGGAAAAACTGGTCTGACAGAAATTAGGTCAGCTACTACATACAGCTACTTCTGTATGCCAAGTTAAACTATAAGTACATATGTCATCTAGACATCATAAAAAAATTAGATGAGCAAAGGAAAAAAAAGACTTTTCCTTTCTATGACTTGAAGATTTCATGACCAAAAAAAAAAGGACATAGAGAAAATCACAGGAGGTAAAATGGATAATATTAATTACATAAAATTAACAAGTTTTCCCCAAACAAAACCAATACAACAAAATGATAAGGATAACAGTTAACTGGGAAACAATCTTTTTTTTTTTTTGGCTAGGCAATGGGGTTAAGTGACTTGCCCAGGGTCACACAGCTAGTAAGTGTCAACTGTCAGAGGCTGGATTTGAACTCAGGTCCTCCTGACTCTAGAGCCACTGCTCTATTCACTGTGCCACCTAGTTGCCCCCGGGCAATAATCTTTGCAGTAAGTTTTTCTGAAAGAGGTTTCATTTACAAGAAACATAAGGAATGGATTCATTCAAATTTACAAAAGCCATTCTGGAGTCAGGAAAACCTAAGTTAGAATACAAACCCAGACACATGTTAGCTTTGTGACCCTGGGTAAATCACTTAACCTGTGTCTGACAGTTTCATCATCTGTAAAATGGAGATAACAATAACGCCTATCTCCTATGGTTATTGTGAAGATAAAATTAATATTTATAAAATGTTTTGGAAACTTTAAAGTATTATATTAATGCTAGAGATTTATTGTTATTATTCTAGATTTGAAAAATGGTCAAAGGATATGAATAGGCAAAACCTTTTCACAAATTTAAAAAAGAGGAAAAAAAACCTTCCTTGTGTCAAATAATCCTCACCAAGTAATATAAATCTTTATATTAGCCATGTCCAAAAAAGTTATCTCTCATTAATATATTGCTTCTGTTACTTTTTTTGTTAGAAGGTGGGTAACATGTTTTGTTCTCTGGAGTTGTAGTTAGTCATTGCATTGATCATGGTTATTAAATCTTTCAAAGTTGTTTTTCTTTATACCATTGCAGTTAGTTATGTAGTATGCAGTTATGTTCTCCTAGTTCTACTCATTTCACTCTGAATCAGTTCATACTAATGGTCTTTCTGTTTCCCTGAATTCCATCCCTTTTGTCATTTCTTACTATAACATACCTCTACATCTATCCAACATAATTTATTTAATAATTCTCCAATTAACAGCTATCTCCTTATTTTTCAGTTCCTTATAAAAAAAATGCTGCTATGAATATTTTTGTGCATATGGGTCCTTTTCCTCCAACTTTCATCTTTTGTGGAATATGAACCTGGTAATGATAGCTAAGTCAAAGGGCATGCACAGTATATGATTTTTTGAGTATTATTCCAAATTGCTTTCAGAATGAATGCACTATTTCATAGCTCCACCAACTGTGCATTAGCACATCCCCTCCAACAATTTCTATTTTCCCTTCTTGTCTTTGCTAGTCTGATGAGTGTGAGGTAGAACCTTAAAGAATTGTGAAAGCAAAGAAATGAAAAATAATGAGCTTTTACTGTAGCATATACAACTTTCCTTTCATAAATATTTTTCTGCCATGGTTAAGTAGAATTTTCTAGAATTTAAAAATATAAGCATTTATAAAAAGTAATAATTTTTAAAAGTTTCCCTTATAATCTTCCTTCCCTTTCCTCCACCCTTTTCCTTAGAATTATTTAAACTTGGGGCAGCTAGGTGGTGCAGTGGCTAGAGCACCGGCCCTGAAGTCAGGAGGACCTGAGTTCAAATCTGGCCTCAGACGAAACACTTGACACTTACTAGCTGTGTGACCCTGGGCAAGTCATTTAACCCCAATTGCCTTAAAAAAATATCTAAACTCTGTGGTCTCACACCTCAGTAATGTCATAAAATCCTATGAGATAAACCCCCTAAAAGTTGACCATTTTTGTTTCCTTTCTAAGACAATGTTTATTTTTATTTTATTTTCCTTTTTTTCAATAAGGACTTGTTGGCATTACTTCTGGCGGGCCGTGGGGAGAAGAGAGAACTATTGTCTTTTTTCCCAAACCTTATGTTTTTGTAGATAAAATAACACATATATTTCCGTTTAAAATAGGAAAGAGTGGAAGAGGAAGAAGAAGAAGCTTCAACTGCTCTTCCGAAGTGGAAAGCTCAAAAAATTACCCCATTAGAACTCTGGAAACCAGCTCCTGTGGAAGAGCCACCACAGCCTGAAGTGGCCCCAGTATTGGAGGAGCCACAAGCTTCCTTGGAAAGTATGTGGTATGCCTGGATTATTCTAGTTAGGAAAACAGTTTTCTTTTCTTTTCCTTTTTTTTTTTTTTTTGGGCAATTGGGGTTAAGTGACTTGCCTAGGGTCACACAGCCAGTAAGTGTCAAGTGTTTGGTCTGAGGTCAGATTTGAACTCAGGTCCTCCTGACTTCAGGGCTGGTGTTCTATTCACTGCACCACCTAGCTGCCCCTAGGGAAACAGTTTTCAAACGTCTCAGGAATCCATTAAAATCCTCTAGCCTGCTATAAAGAACAGCATGATTGGATTTTATATCTAGTTTATTTTCTGTCATTATATTTCGGTTGGCGAAGGGACTGAGGATGTTCAACCTCTTACTGATTATTCAGAAGCGGAAGACCTTGAAGGAGTAACGAAACAGGGAGAAGACATCGAAGAAGTGAGAGCTGAAAGCAGAGAGGAAGGTAGAGTTGAAATAAGAAATTACAATATGGATCACGGGGAGGAGATAATTCCTATAGACCAGGGGTGGGGAACCTGCTGCTTTGAGGCTACATGTACCTTCTAGATCCTGAAGTGTGGCCTTTTGAAAGAATTCAAATTTTGCAATTTGTTCTGTAAAATTTGAATTCGTTCAAAAGGCCGCACTCAAGAATCTAGAACAAAGGGTGGGGAACCTGCAACCTCAAGGCCCTGTAGGTCCTCAAGTGTGGCCCTTTAATCCAAACTTTATAGAACAAATTCCCTTAATAAAAGGTTTTGTTCTGTAAAACTTGGACTCAGTCAAAAGGCCTTACCCAAGGACCTAGAATGCCACATGTGGCCTCAAGGCCTTAGGTTCTCCACCCCTGCTATAGACCCTAGAAAGAAAGAGCAAAATTAATTATCTCTAGTTATTAAATGCTAGTGATTATCACTATAGATACCTTAATATTATGATCTCAAAGTGAAAAGGAATTCTTTTATGCATACATTTACTGGCAGATATTATGTGGCATTTTTTTTTTTGGATCACAATTGACCTTTATGAAAAGAAATTCAGTTTTCTTTCAACTGGACAAAGTTGGAGGAAAAAAAAAATCAGTGAGAATCTTAAATCAACAGCAAACTTTTTATCTTGGCTTTTTTCTTTTGGCTTTTTATCTTGGTTTTTATTGATGGAAAAGGTAAATTGAGAGATATTTTGAATATATATCATTCATAACCATGTGGAATTTCTTTTTATCAATATAATATAAAACAATTGACCTTTTAAAAAATGTGTACTTGTCTATTGTGATTAACAAAATCCATTATTATAGTTAAACTAATTGGTCTACAAGTCTCAATTATCTACATTAATAATAGGGAGCAGTGGCATTGAACATTCCATTAATCTATCAACCAACAAGCGCTAATAAACCCTGCTGTGTACTAGGCACTCAGCTATGCCCTAAAAATAAAAAGACCACTCGAGGAATAGTCACTGTTCTCAAGGACCCTGCATCATACTGAGCGATACAACATTTGCACATCTGACCACTAGTGGGAGCTTTTGAGTGATATCAAGCGCTGGCAGCATTGCTGGGGTCCTATCATGTCCTAGCAAGACACGTTGGGCACATGCCGTTGTAGCCTGCCAGCTTGGTGAGGGCTTGTAGCTCTCACTCTTCTTTCCTCCCTCTTCAGAGCTTAACTTTTGAATAGGTATAGGGTAACTCTGAGTTACTGTTACTGAAGTGGGTAGGGATTTTGTTTGTTTTTGGTGAGGCAATTGGGGTTAAGTGACTTGCCCAGGGTCACACAGCTTAGTAAGTGTCAAGTGTCTGAGGCCAGATTTGAACTTAAGTCTTCCTGACTCCAGGGCCAGTATTCTATCCAGTGTGCCACCTAGCTGCCCTGTGGGTGGGGATTTTTATTTTCCACTAGGGGCTGCTTCTGGTGCCCTACCTTCTTTATTTTAACACCAGTCCCTCCACTTTGCTCAGGATACTGGCTCCAGATATCAGCTTTGGTTCAACCAAACCAAATTTCCCATCTGAGAAAGGAGAATTCCCTTACTCTAATCTATATACCTGAACATTAAGTAAAATATAACAAACTATTTGACTTTTTCTTGACCAAAAGTTTTATCACATTTTAAGTCTTAGAAGTAAAAGTCCCTTTCTGCCTTTCCAAGACTGTCAGGTTTGAAAGAAAAGTAGGGATTTTAAAGTTAGCCGATAATGTACAATATATTTTTCTTCTAGGGGGTGGGGAGGTGGGTGGGAGAGAAGAGAAGAAAAGGTGTCATGCTCTCTTTTCTTTTTTTTAAAATTAATTTATTTTGATTTATCAACAATCACTTCCATATGTTTTTGAGTTTAAAATTTTTCTCCCCCTTCCTCCCCACCACCCTCCCCAAGACGGTGCACAATCTGATATAGGCTATATATATATACATTCCTATTAAACACATGCTCTCTTTTCTTGGCTCATACCTGAGCAGTAAAGATATTTTCCAGTCCATAGTTCATGCTATGATCTTCTCTTTCCTCTTGGGCTCGGGAATCATTACAGTCACTTGAGTTAGCACAACTTCAGGCAGCTCATAGGGCTCTTTTCTGCAGCTTCTCACAGCGCTTCTTGGTGCCTGCTTCTTGTGGGTTCTCCTTTCTCTCTTTCTGTATGGGATGGCTTCTTGTTCTACTAGTTCCTTAAATCTCAAGGTTAGTGTTGGGGCAGATCCTAGAACTTGGGAGTCTTGGTGAACTGACTTAGGACAGCAGGACAGGTGTCTGAGTCTTTGCCCTCCGGTGGCATCTCAATAAATGGAACAGATATATTTGTGAGGATAACAATTTGAATTAAGCCCCTCAGATCCATCAGGATGGGGAATCAAAGGATGGTACTCACTAATCTAATCAGCTGCCTTATTCCTCTAAAAAAGATATGCATTTCTTGCCATATTTCTTGCTCCTTTAGTTCCACCCACTTGGATGGTTTTTCTTCCCTTGTATCCTTCAGGGACTCACCTGTCCCTTGGATGCTAGCTGCAGTCTGAAAACAGCCTGGTCCCTCATAATTGGTGACACCTTCAGAGAAACTGTACATCTCTACCCAGACTCATTGTTTCCAATTCTCCCAAATGTGTGGTGCCTTCCCCATTGAGATCTAAGCCTTCCCTAAAGTAGAGAAAAACACCCCTTTCAGGAAGCCATTAGGCTCCTAGCAGAAGCAATGGGAAGCATCTCAGGAAAATTGCCTGCATGGAAGTAGTTGGAGGAACCAGACTGAGTTACAGCTAGCGGTATGGTTCTGTGGGAACATAGCATGTTTGAAAGAAAGTGAAAAGAAATAAAGCTGGTAAAGTAGGCTGGAACCAGATTATGGAATTTGTTAAATGCTAGGCTAAGGAGTATGAACTTAATCCTTTGGGGGTAAGGAGTTATCAAAGATTTTAAAGCAAGGGAGTAACTTGGTTAAAAACTTGTGTCTTAGGAACATTATTTGAGTAGCCACGTGAAAGATGGATTAGAGAGGAGAAAGTCTTAAAGAAGAGACCATATACTTGCTTCTTATGACTAGAATGACTCCCTCCTCTTCTCCATTTCCTGGCTTCCCTGGCCTCCTTCAGGCCTTAGCTAAAATATCACCTTCTACTAAAAACCTGTCCTGGTTTCCCGTAATGCAAGCGCCTTCCCTCTGAGATTACTTCCAATTTACCTTGTACATACATATATATACATATATCTTGCTTGTATATAGTTGTTTGCATGTTGTCTCCCCACTTGACTGTAAGCTTCTTGAAGGCAAAGGATGTTTTTGCCTTTTTTTGTATCCCTAGGTCTTAGCAGTGTCTGGCACAAAGTAATAAATGCTTAGTGATTGACAGAGATCAATCAGAAGGCTATTAACATAGTCTGAGTGAAAAGTGATGAAGGCTTGTAACTAGGGTTATATCTGTGAGAGTGGTGAGAAGAGGACAGATGTAAGAAATATTTTAGAGTCAGATTGTCAAAACTTGGCAACCACATGGTGAGGGAGAGCAAATATTGAAGGTTGCCCTAAGGTTATAAACCTAGGTAACTGGGAGAATAGTAGTGCCCTCAACAGCATTAGAGAAGTCAAGTATGTGCCTAACTATGGATGTAGAGCTGTGTCAAGAGGGTATAGTGGGGAACCCAACTTGCCTGGACCTACATATCCAAGGGCTAAGTGTATTTCTATGTAGGCACTATACAAAGAGATAGGGACAGTGGAGTGAAAGGAACCTTTTGAAACTATGTGGGGTGTGGGTGAGTGAGTAGGCAGATGATAAACCTGTGCCCATGGCTCATTATTCTTCTCTCCAGGTAGGCACTTCATGAAATATAGTGCCATGAATTTGCAGGTTGTACTTACAACTGAGGAAAAAGGAGGTTCCCTGGGAGGAGCTTTCATGATTATATTTCTGGTTTGTTCTATGTTTAGTGCCTTTGTTAGACTGAATATTTACAGGGAAATGGATAAAGCTCTCTATGGAGAAGCAAAATGAGCCAGAGTCTGATATTCTTAGGGGAAAGCCTAGGTGGAGGTGTGATCCATAAATATTATTATTGAGGGACCTTAAGATTATACTTGAGCTTATTATGTCAGAAGGCAGAGGATGACACTCAGGTTGCAGGTATGTATCTGTTCTATACAGATTTGGAATGTCAGACATTTTCTGATTCATTTGCCACAATTATTTTTCCTAATCCATTACTTTTATTTAAATTTTAAAGACATTGTTTTTGTTGTAAAAAAAAAAAAACCTTTTCATTTTTCTGTGATCAAAACCATCAATTTCTTTTTTAAAATTTTATTTTTTTAATGAACAAAAACCCACCTTTTCTCCCTCCCACCTCCATCCCCCAATTCAAGAAAAGCAAAATCCTTGTTGCAAACTTGTATAGTCAAGAAAAACAAAGTCCCACATTGTCTATGTCTAAAAATAAATGTTTCAATCTACACTCTGAGTTCATTACCTAACAGGATATAGGTGGATGGTTGATTTTGAGTCCTCTGGAATTGTGGTTAGATACTGCATTGATCAGAGTTGTTAAGTCAAAGTTATTTAAAAATTTTTTTTCAAATTAGGATATGCTTTTTCTCTCTCCCACCCCCAACTTCTTATTGAGAAAGCAAGAGAAATAAAACCCTGTTATATGTATAATCAAGCAAAAGAAATTTCTGCATTGTCTATTTTTAATAATATCTTATTTTCCACCAATTACATGCTAAAACAACTTTTGACATTTAAAAAACATTGAGTTCCAAATCCTTTCTCTCCCTCTCTCCCTTACCTCCTCCATGAGAAGGTAAGCAATCTGATATAGGTTATATATATGCAATCATGTAAAAAATTTCCATATTAGTCATTTTTGTGCAAGAAAACTCAAACAAAAAAAGAAAGAAAGAAAGTGAAAAATGGTATACTTCAGTCTGTATCTAGATGACATCAGTTCTTTCTCTGGAAGTGGAGAGCATTTTTCTTCATGAGTCCTTGGGGATTGTCCTGGATCATTGTATTGCCAAGAATAGCTAAATCATTCACAATTGTTCATCATACAACATTGCTGTTACTGTGCACAATGTTCTCCTAGTTCTGCTCACTTCACTTTGTATCTGTTCACGTAAGTCTTTCCAGGTTTTTCTGAAATCATCCTGCTTGTCATTTCTTATAGCACAATAATATTCCGTTATACTCATATACCACAATTTGTTTAGCTATTCCCCAATTGATGTGCATCCCCTCATTTTCAATTTTTTTTTGCCACTGCAAAAAGCTGCTGTTATAAATATTTTTATACAAATAGATTCTTTCTCTCCCCCCACTTTAAAAAAAATCTCTTTGGGATACAGACCTATTGCTGGATCAAATGGCATGAACAGTTTTAGAGCTCTTAGGGCATAGTTCGAAATTGCTCTCATTCTTAGATCAGTTCACAACTCCACCAATAGTGCATTGATATCCCAGTTTCCCCACAATCCCTCCAAAAGTTATCATTTTCCTCTTTTGTTATATTAACCAGTCTGGTAGGTCTGAGGTGGTACCTCAGAATTGTTTTAATTTGCATTTCTCTAATCAATAATGATTTAGAACATTTTTTTATATGACTATAGATAGCTTTGATTTCTTCATCTGAGAACTGCCTGTTATATCCTTTGACCATTTATCAATTGGGGCATGACTTATATTCTTATAAATTTGACTCAACTCTTCATCTACTGGAGAAATGAGGCCTTTATCAGAGATATTTGCTGTAAAAATTTTCCCCCAGTTTTCTGCTTTCCTCCTAATTTTTGTTGCATTGGTTTCATTTGTGCAAAAACTTCTTAATTACATAGAATCAAAATAATCCATTTTACATTTTCTAAAACTCTCTATATCTTGTCTGGTGCTAATAAATTCTTCCCTTATCCATAGATCTGACAGGAAAAGTATTCTACATTCTTGTAATTTGCTTATTGGGTCACCCTTTATATATAGTTCATGTACTCATTTTGACCTTATCTTGGTCAAAAGTGTGAGATGTTCAATCTATGCCTAGTTTATGCCATACTGTTTTCTAGTTTTTTGTCAAATAATGAGTTTTTCTCCCAAAAGCTTAAATTTTGAGGTTTATCAATCACTAAATTACTATGATCATTTACTATA